GGGCCGCGGCTGCGAGGCCGCGGGAGGGGGCGGCGGACGCCCAGGTCCTCCTTAGAGCGCACCCCCTCGGCTTGGCAACGTGTCCCTGCCTCCCGCTGGCGCCCTCGTCCCCACCACAGCCTCCCCGCTGCCTTGTCCCGTTTCTCAGCAAACAGTCGTGCCCTCTACGTGGGGGATCTTGGAGGCTGCTGAGCAGGAGCACCGCGCCCACATCCCCTCTGGCCTTGGGGAGGAGGGTCCCAGTCTTCTGCGGAGGGCGCTCTCCTCTGCCTTGAAGATCGCCCCCCTCTCCTCCAGGGCCTCTTCCCCAGCAGCTCCAGTGGCTCCACCCTCTGCACCCATCCTGCGACCTCCCAGCAGCCCAGCCCCTCCCCAGAATAGACCCCCTTCTCCAGCCCCAGTCATCTGGCTTCTGCCCCAGCCAGGAGCCTCCGCAGGGCGCTCTGCCACCAGGTGGTATTTCCCGCAAACTGGCCGCGCCTCACTGACACCTCTCCTCCTGGACCTCCAGGTCTCTCTCCCGGTTTTCCTCCCTCCAGGATCCCACTCTTAGTGTCTTTCCGGCTTCCTGTCCGTTGCCAGCCCTTGACTGCGGTTCCCTAAAGCACCATCCTGGGGTGCGCCCTTCCCTCTCACTGCAGCAGAGCTTCTCCCCCAGCCAGCGGGGCCTGCGGGCCAGAGATCCGCATTTTTAGCAAGCATCCCACACTGACAATCTTGGCCAACCCTTCCCAGGCAATCTGGCCCCCACGTTCATGGCCTCGCCTCCCAGCAGGTCTGGCCCACTCAGCTAGAGCTCAGCTCCGCCCATCCTAAACCCCACGCTGTGCAGCTGCCTGTGAGTGCGTGTCCGCAGGTACCTCGGCCTCGCCCTGACCCCAGAACTTCTCTTCTCCTCCAGGCGGGTCCCTCCTGCCATCCTTTGTCCCGTAAATGGCACTGCCATTGCCTGCAGGACAAAGTCCATACTTGTTGGGTTGGCCACAGATGCAGCCTCACCTCCCTCCCAGCAGTCCGCAGCCTCTGGTCCAGCCACACCGCATAGCTTGCAGTTTCCAGACAGGCAGTGCCCTTTGCACTGCCGCCCCTGCCCCCCCAGAACACCACCCACTCATCCTTTCCATCCCAGCTTACCCACTGAGTGACTTGAATGAGTAATTTATGTCGTCTCTGCCTTAGTTTCCTCATTCTTAAAGTGGGCATAATAATTGGTTCCTGCCTCATGGAACTAAATAAACAATACGTACAGTGCCTGCCAAGTAAGTGCTCTGCACATGATGATGAGCCATGGGGAGGGGCGGATGTCTAGGCAGGTGCAAGCCCTCCCAGGCCTCTCATCTGTAATACTGCGCACTTCTTCCCCATGGTGTCCTGTTGGAGTTGAGCACATTTCTTCACAAGTGGGTCTCTCCCCCACTGGCCGCAAACCTCCCAAGAGCAGGAAACATTTATCATTCTCCATGAACTCCCGGTACCTACCTTAGTACTTGACCCTTAAGAGGTGTTTACTGGCCAGGCGCGGTGGCCCACGCCTGCAATCCCAGCACTTTGGGAGGCCGAGGCGGGTTCAGTTAGAGACCAGCCTGAGCAACATAGTGAAACCCCGTCTCTACTAAAAATACAAAAATTAGCCGGTAGCACGTACCTGTAATCCCAGCTACTGGGGACGCTGAGGCGGGAGAATCGCTGGAACCCGGGAGGCAGAGGTTGCAGTGAGCGACATCACGCCACCGCACTCCAGCCTGGGCGACAGAGCAAGACCCCATCTCAAAATAAAAAAGAGGTGTTTACCAAGAGTTGGTTTGTTTGGCGAATAAACTCAATGAGTTGACCACCATTAACAATGGTTAAGAGCACCTTGTGCTGCCTGGATTGGACTCTGAGCTCTACCAATCACCTGTGTGACTTGGTGCAAGTTAACGTCTCAGCTTTCTCATCTGTGAAATGGGGACGATAACACTAGCGTGGACCTCCTAGGACTGGAGTGAATTTTTAATTAAGATAATTATGGACTTTAAAAGCTGTTTTATTGATTAATCGATTAAATTTACATAGGTAATGGTGGCACAGCAGCACATGGCTCAGTAGGCGTTAGCAGCCATCAGTGGTGCTATGTGGAGCTGTGGGTGGATGAATAGGTGAACTCAGAACCACAGATACAAGAGAGCAGTAACCACCGTGGAAGAGAAAAGAGCTTATGTGTCTGGGACACCCCAAGAAATCTCCTCTGAATCATGGTAATGAAACATCTGGGCCAGGTGCGGTGGCTCACGCCTGTAATCCCAGCACTTTGGGAGGCCGAGGTGGGTGGGTCACGAGGTCAACAGATCGAGACCATCCTGGTCAACATGGTGAAACCCCGTCTCTACTAAAAATACAAAAAATTAGCTGGGCATGGTGGCGCGTGCCTGTAATCCCAGCTACTCAGGAGGCTGAGGCAGGAGAATTGCCTGAACCCAGGAGGCGGAGGTTGCAGTGAGCCGAGATCGCGCTATTGCACTCCAGCCTGGGTAACAAGAGCGAAACTCCGTCTCAAAGGAAAAAAAAAGAAAGAAAGAAAGAAAGAAACATCCATTCACAGAGGGTAGGCTGGGTTATGCAGGGTTGGAGGCGTTTCCAAAAATAAGTAACTTTTAAAAAATCTCTTTTCCCCATATTTATAATATTGGAAGTCTTCATGTTGGTTTAAAAAATGAGTCCATTGGGCTCCATCCTCAGCTCTTAGCTGTGAATGTGGTCTCCAGGAACTCCTCACAGCAGGGGTGCTTCTGTGGAAACCCTGGTCAGCTGGTCCCCTGCTGTCCTGCAGGGCTCACACCCAGGCACTTCCTTCAGCAGGTCTAGGTGATCTCCTTCCTCCTCCACCCCAGTAATCGCTGTGGACTTCCCAGGCCCCCAGTTTGCAAAACACTCTGGACTAAGCCTCCTCCAGGTTCTGAGGGCTCCATAGAAGCGGGGTCTAGTCTCCTCCAGGTTCTGAGGGCTCCATAGAAGGGGGGTCTAGTCTCCTCCAGGTTCTGAGGGCTCCATAGAAGGGGGGTCTAGTCTCCTCCAGGTTCTGAGGGCTCCATAGAAGGGGGGTCTAGTCTCCTCCAGGTTCTGAGGGCTCCATAGAAGGGGGGGTCTAGCCTCCTCCAGGTTCTGAGGGCTCCATAGAAGGGGGGTCTAGCCTCCTCCAGGTTCTGAGGGCTCCATAGAAGGGGGGTCTAGTCTCCTCCAGGTTCTGAGGGCTCCAGGGCAGGGCCGGGCCGGGCCGTTGTCCAGGCTCGCCGTCGAGGGAGCACCTGTCCCCAAAAGAGGTGTTAAGACGTCCTTGAGCCCTTACACTTTTCGCCAGAACCTGGGGCAGCACGAGGCCCGTGGGCAGGTGCGGGCTTGTGGGCGTGGCCAGTAGGAGGCACTCAGCCCAGGGGGGCGGGACGTCCTGGGAGCATGCACAGTGCCGGCTCTGCGGGGTTGGAGGGTGTCTCAGCTGCTGCCCGCACCTCCCCGGCACAGGTAGGGCACCCCGGCCGACCAGCACCATGCTACCACGCTGAGTGTGGCTGAAAACTGGGAGTCACGGAGCGTTCTGGGGAAGTGCCAAGGCTGGGGGCTCGGGCCCCTTGACCAAAGACGCCAGCCAAATCCGTCCGAGGCTGAGAAGGGCGGGGGAACCAGGTGGGAAAAGGGGTGTGAGCAGGGCAAGGTGGGAGGAGGGCAAGGGACCATCGCCGGCTCCCGGGGGTATTGGTGCCTGTGCCCACGTGTCCGTCCTTTTGTGTAAAGGAACCTGTCCCAACCTGAAGGCCCAAATATTTGGCCATGTAAATGGTTAGTTGTGCTCGGAGCCCTAGGAGAACCCGAGCTGAGGGCAGGCAAGGGCCAGAGGCCGCAGGACCGCCCTCGAGGTCTGCGGCGCAGTATCCTGCAGCTTGAAATGCACCGTGAGCTTTACTGCCTTTTCCGTGTGAGAATCCGAGTTAACGTGCCTGTTGGTGCTTCTGATGGGTGTGGAGGTGAGGCAGGGCACGCGTCTCCCTTCTTTCCAGAACACTTCGGGGTAGTGGTTCAACTCCAAATTTAACCCAAAGCCAGCAGTTCCACGGGTGCGTGTGCTCCTGGCTGTAGAAAGCCGACCGTGGACGGATGAGGATAATGGCCTCAGTGAATTAGCAAGTCTGGAGAGGACAAATTTAGGATCTTTAAAGACATCTGGACAGCGATGCCGGAGCTCGTGATTGACTGAGTGATTAATAATGGAAAGCCCTTACTTCAGTGTTTCCACGGCCCTCACCCACTTTCCCAGCCGGGGCGGCATCTGCTCAGCCTGCCGGAGACCTTTCCAGTTGAACAATGGAGGCATTTAGGTCCCTCATCTCTGACCTCTGCTTGGGAGTTCAAAGTTTCCTTTCTTCTTCTCCTTACCCCACTCATCTGCGTGTTTTCTTTCTTTCTTTCTTTCTTTTTTTTTTTTTGAGACGGAGTTGCCCTCTTGTTACCCAGGCTGGAGTGCAATGGCGCGATCTCGGCTCACCGCAACCTCCGCCTCCTGAGTTCAGGCAATTCTCCTGCCTCAGCCTCCTTAGTAGCTGTGATTACAGGCACGCGCCACCATGTCCAGCTAATTTTTTGTATTTTTAGTAGGGACGGGGTTTCACCATGTCGACCAGGATGGTCCTGATGTCTTGACCTCGTGATCCATCCGCCTCGGCCTCCCAAAGTGCTGGGATTACAGGCGTGAGCCACCGCGCCCAGCCCATCTGCGTGTTTTCTAATTGACACTGTACTGAGATGGCTCCTGGTCTCCACGCACATTTGCTAGAATGTTACCCACTTTCACACAGTGCGTACCAAGGGCCCACTGCCAGCCAGAGCCTGGCACCTCAGGGTCACCCTAGGTGTCCTGCTCATCGTCCCCCTATCAGGGGCTTCCCTCAGATGCACACAGCCCCAGAGCCTGTTGAAAGGTTGGTGTCTGCCGTTATCCCTCTTTAATTCTGCCGTGGATTTTTCTCCAGGCTAAGGCAGCTGGATAAGCACAGCCAGGCCACAGCCCAGCAGCTGGTGCAGCTCCTCAACAAGCAAAACCAGCTTCTCCTGGAGAGGCAGAGCCTGTCGGAAGAGGTGGACCGTCTGCGAACCCAGGTACTGTGCAGAACCCGGCATAGGGCGGGAGTCTACAGATGGGCCTTGCACGCACCTCAGTAGGCCAGAATTCCCACTGATCACATCAGTTAGTAGTAAGCTGGGAGGGAGGTCCTGAAGACTGTGCGGGGCACAGTGTGGGACCCAGAGAAGCAGAGCCATGGGCCTGTCCTGGCGACCCAAGCCCGTGAGTCAGAGAACCACACTGAGTGCCAAGCTGTGCCGTGCAGGCCGCACTGCAGAGGGTGCAAGGGCAGGGGGGACTGGGAGGATGGCCATGGGCAGAACAGGCTTTTTGGAGGAGGGTGGCCTTGAGCTGCCTCTGAAGGTCGCGTATGGTTTGAATTGGTCTAAATTGGTTGAGGAAAGAGGTGTTTCCAATTAGGAAAGAGGTCTTGAATGGCGTGCAGGCATCTGGGCCTAAATTAGCTGCCTGATGACTGGGTGATATCGGGAGTGTCTGCAGAGCACCTGGCAGTGTTACGCACAGAACAGGCGTCACTTCCCTTCACCCTTGAACAAGCTGGCGATGTTGACATCGTTGTCTCCATTTTATAGATAGGGAGACTGAGGCTCAGACAAGCATCACAGCTAGCGAGGAGGGACACCACAGATGGAACCTAAGTCTGACTCCACACCCAGGCTTTCCCCATTCAGGTTTGATTGTGGCCATCAGCAGGGCAAGGCAGGAAGGAAAGTGTTGCTGGAGTTTGGAAGGCAGTATGAAACCTCGTTTTCTAAATCGCTTCTCTTCCTGTCGAAGAGGCTGTGCATTTTGCCCCATCAGGCCGTTTGTTAGGATAATGAGGTGGTCCTCGGGCTCACCAAGGCCTCTGCCTTTAATTAGGATTGCACCCAGGTGCTCTGTGAGTGCCCGGGGTTCACGCGGTAAGTGCTTGGAATGATTAACATGAAAAATGCATCTGAAAATGAAAACGGAGTTCTCTGTTACTCTCCGTACACAACGGCCCTGCGTTCCGGGAACCTGTAAGAACTGAGTTTTCCCACTCAGTCCAGAATCCCTCTACAAAACATTTGTTCACAGTTAGTAACTGAGCACAGCCAGGTGCCAGTCTCTGACCTAAGACCTGGAGGTGGAAAGGCCTCTACTGTCCCCGTCCCCATGCTTACGGGACTGCTCGCAGGGACCTTGCGGAGCACACTGCTCGAAGTCTGAGCCACAGCCCACGCTGCCACAGCTCATCCAGGAGGCCAGGCCTCACCTGGCATGCGCCACGGCAGGGCCCTGCATTTTGACAAGCTGTTGGGTGATTCTGGAGGACACGACATTTTGAAAACCTACGAAGTGTTTGGGGCTGGTAGGAACAAAGAATTATTCCAGGCTGTGTCACTGTGCTGAAGCCCCCCGACAAGTCACTTAAGCCTTTTTTCAGCCTCAGTTTCCCCTCTGCACAGTGGGCATGGTGTACACCTGGCTTCATGAGCTGCTGGGTATGCTGAGTGCAGCTGGGATGCCCCACAGGCCCTTGGGCATCCAGGCTGAGGACGTGAGGTTGTTTCCTTACTCCATCTTGAGAGGGTCCTGGGAGAGGCTCGGGGAAGGCAGAGGTCTGCAGAGCAGCAGCCACAGGCCCAGGGCCACTCCCCTCCCCCTCTGCTTCCAGGACGAGTCCCTCAGTCTCCACCAGACCCAGCCCAGAACCCAGCCCTGTGGGCAGGTCCCCAGCGAGGGCCCCAGCAGCACCTACTTTAGGCCTGGCCAGCCAAAGCTCAGGGCCACTGAGGCCACTAGGTCTCCTGGCAGGTGACTAGGCTCCTGTCACATAGAAGGCAGGGACCCTGACTCCTGGCATGAGTGACTCTTTGGCCTATAAAGCCAGGAACTCTGTCAGACCTCAGGATGTGGGGAGTTTTCTGTGGAAGCTGGAGCACATGGCAGCTTCCTCTGGGCTCTGGGCTAGATCACGAGAACGTGGGCTTTACCTTTTAACTCTCCATCTGCCTGCTTTCCAGCACGCTCAGATCTTAACATGGATCACCAATGCTTAGAAGCCTCTTCCAGGCCTTTACAAATCTGGTTATCGCCAAATGAGTTGCAAAATTTTCACAAAACGCATAAAAAAAACCCCAAACCTCAAAAAGTCCTCAGAAAAACTAGCAGGTCTTTCTTCTTTTGCCTGAAGCTACAGCAGTGATTTGCCCATCCTGTGCTATCTGATACTGGCCCATCTGGCTCGTCTCTAAAGCGGCCTTTCAGATTCAAATCTTACACTTGGAGTTATTTTAATATGAACATGACAAAAGGAGTTTGGTAGAGGAAATGTTGGCTTTCAGTTGCAAATATTAGTGGTCAGAGAGGAGGCAGGGATCCAGGTTTGCAAGCGCTCTGCTGAATATCCAAACCCAGAGCTGGCTCTTCCTGCCTAAGCCTGGCCTTCACCTCTAGGTAGGGGCTGTCAGTGAGCTTCAGCCTCTGCGATGCTTTCTAGCCATGGAATCAACTTGAGTTGTGAGTCAGGCTTCTGAGCCTGTGACGTGAGCCGGGGCTCCTGTGGATTCCAGCAGGTATTTTGAAGGAGGTGCCACCTGAGTGCTCCGGACTGTTCAGCCAACCTCTCTGTTTCCTGGAGTGGCCTGTGGGTCCAGATCTTGGGTGGCTGAGGGTTAGAGCTGCGCCACCCCCCACCCCGCACCCCGCCGTGTCCAGGTTAGAGATGGGCGGCTGAGAGTTAGAGCTGCCCTCGTGTCCAGGTGAGAGATGGTTTAAGTAAAGGCTTCCATTTCTCAACCTGGATAAGCATAAGGTAATTTTGCATGTCAAACTCTAAACATCTCTGTCCACTGAATACCCTGAGGAGAAAAGGTGGGGCAGCAGTTCTGAAGCTGAGTCCACCCTTTCCTGTCACTCCGTGTCCTGGGTCCTGAGCCCCGCTGTCCCGGAGCGGGTGATGGATGGTGGGGCTCGGGATGGCCTGTGGCCTCCGACAGGAAGTGTCTAGCCTGTTAGCAGGCTTTATTATTCTAAATGGTTTCTGCTTAAATTCTCAAACACTCACAAAAACGTGGCTGGCAGAGGGAGCTCAAGGGAGTGGTAGCTGGCACAGGGATGGTTTTGGCCACGAGAACCCCCACCCTCCCATTTCCCCGGTGCTGCTGTCTGCAGTGGGCAGGGCTCAGGGCACTGGCTCAAGCTCATGATTGATTGTGTTTCTTGGCTTTTTTTTTTTTGAGACCGAATCTCACTCTGTCACCCAGACTGGAATGCAGTGGTGCAGTCTCAGCTCACTGCAACCTCCACCTCCTGGGTTCAAGCGATTCTCCTGCCTCAGCCTCCCAAGTAGGAGGCTGGGATTACAGGTGCCTGCCACCACACTCAGCTAATTTTGTATTTTTAGTAGAGATGGGGTTTCACCATGTTGGCCAGGCTGGTCTCGAACTCCTGACCTCAGGTGATCTGCCCGCCTCAGCCTCCTGAAGTACTGGGATTACAGGCAGGAGCCACCAAGCCTGGCCTCTTGGCTTGTTCTTGGTTTAAGGTGGCTATATTATGGCATTATTGATCTCCTGCCTCACCTGGGGCAAACAACTTCAAGAAAACGGCTTTTAAATGTCTTGAAATGGCTCTTACTGGTCCTTATGGAGAAATGGACATTGGCGCACTAGCCCAGTTCTTCCCAGACACAGTGCCCCGCATTCTATGTGCTGAGGTGGTCAGACACCCTGGCCTGTCTTGTTTGAGGCTGGGCTGGGTAGTCGAACTCTCGCCTCTTGAGAGGCAGGCCCTGGCTGGGGGAGCATGAAACCTTCGTAGTGGGGGTGAGGAGGGAGCATCTGGGGTGGGGGAGGTGGCGGGGGGTTGGGCAGGGCCTGACAGCTTGGAGCAGGGTCGGCGGTCTGTGACCTAGAGCCTCGGGGCTCTAACATCTGGCTGGGAAGGGTGGAGCCGGCTGGTGAGGGAATAGGAGTCTTGGAGAGAATGGCATCTGAGAGAGGGGGAAACAAATTATCTGTCCAGTTGGAGGATGATGTCAGCCATCAAGATGATTTTCTCTGTCTGTGCTTATTCGGTGATGAACGTGGTTCTGGCTGACTTGCATTTTCTGATAGCCGCCGTCTCCTAAGCAGGCTGTTTGCTTCTGTCTGCAGTGTTCAGTCTGGGGAGTGATTCCCTTTTAGTCCCCTCCTATGAATCACTTACAGTTTAGAAAACAGAGTCGGAAACTGACTTGTCAGTGGTTAATCAGTTGGCCCTATGACTTTTAAACATTCTTGGCAGTGAATTTACTTTCTAATTTGATTTAAACTTGTGCATGGATCTAGCAGCCATATGTGATTATATTCAAGATCATCGACATTATCTCATTATACCGAAGGACTCATAGAAGAGAGCCGAAAACAAGCAGGGGCCGCAGAGACACAGGCGATGATGAAGGGAGGAAAGGCCCATTGCCACCGGAAGCTGAGGGAGAAGGAGGCTGTAGAGAAGTGACAGCTCTGGGACAGCAGGGCTCCCTGCTGAGACAGGCCTGCCTGCAAGGCCGAGCTGCTGCCGGCTGCCCATGCTAGGCCTTGGAGGTGGCACCTGATTTACTGTGGTCCTTCCGGGAGCCCTGGGGGCCTTGCCCAGCTGACTTAGGAGTTACCACAAAGTTAGCTACCTGTAAGACAGATGGTGCTTGAATAGAACAGCAAATACACTGAATAAAATAAATTAGAAAGCCTCCTCCTGAACCAAGATTTTTTGGAAAGAATTCTAAATAGATGAAAACAAACAATTTGATTTCAACCAAATTGTTGTTTTTTTGTTTTTATCCTGATTTTCACCCGAATTGTCAGGCTCCAGAATAAACACTGATACATTCCCAGAAAATATTTTTCAAATAAAAACTGACTCTGTTAAAGTTTGCCCTGATTCTTTCAAAACTGTGTACAAGACACTGTCAACCAAAGTGACTTGCATATTTTTTTAAATAAACTTGAACATATGCAGCTAAAATGTCATTAACTGCCTGCTGCCTGAGTGTTTTTAAAGAATGACACGAGACCCCGGGTGCTGCATTCCCAACATATCAGCATCTTGCGACCTTCGGAGAAACTTCCCCAAACACCTCCAACAGCAGACAGTTAAACTTTTTGTTCTTCCACTGAGCAACCCATGTGCCATTAATACTGAAAAGTGCATCGAGGCTCCGTCTTAGCCAGACTTGCTCTTCCGTAAACAGTTCACTTTGTCCAAGAGTGACTACTTTCAGAATAAGAATCATGGGAGAAAAGTACACTGAATTTTATATTCCTTCAGATACGCTTGCTCTACTTACTGCTTCCTGAGTCAGACATTACATTTTGCAATATAAATTCACAATCAAGATTTTAAAGGGAGCTAAATATTTTAATCCAATTAGACAAGTGAACAAAACACTGAATATTACATGTAGTGTAGTTAAGTGGTTCTTGCCTTTAAAAGACTGTAATTCCGTCACATTACAACCCCAAATGTCAGTGTTGTCTTTATTTTTAACACTTTCAAACACGAGGCAGCCAGAGGCTCCACTCTCTGCTGTTGGTGACACTGTCTGTCCTTTGGGAATTCTTAAAATCTATTTACCATGGAAACATGGTTCATATAAAACACAGACCTGCCTATGTGCAGAGGAAGTTCTCATGACTTAGGGAGCCTAAGGAAGCTGGAAGAACACAAACCAAGAGCCTACGGTTGGGAAGGAAGGAACGCTGGTGCCTGAGTGCGCCCTGGGGAGGAGAGGCGGCCCCACAGAGCAGGGCCTCCACCCCAGCCTCCTGTGTGCTCAGGCCTCCCTGTTCTGCACGGGGCTGCCTCCCTGTCTCGCCCACGTCCAGCTGGAGAGGCTGTCCTAGGTCAAATCTCACTTTGTGTCTGCCGGGTGGCCTTCTCTGTGGCTTTTCATTTCTCTGGTTTCTGTGGCCCTGCTCATTTCTCGGAGCCCAGAGGCAACAAAGCGAAGCCCGACAGTGGAAGGGAAGGAGGGCTCTGAACTCTGACGGCCATGTGGCTGCCATTGTCAGAGGCCCAGCCAGGCAGCCATGGGGGAAGAATGATCGCTGCTCTGTCGTGACCTTGCCGTGAACTCCTGTCCTGCTTTGCAACTGGCAAAGCCAGATTCCCAGATAGGCCTGAACCGGAAAGAATGAGGCTCCTCAGCCAGATCTTCAGTCACTTGTGCTGGGGACAGCAGGGCTGCAGGGGCCTGAAGGTGGCCCACTGCCCTCAGCTGTGTAGAGGTGTGCTCCCTTCTAGTCCTGCCCGAAGGCCATACTTCCACAAAGTTCTGCAGGGCATGCTGGTGGCACAGCTCCTTAGTGAGTTGGTCACCAGTCAGAGCTCACATGGCTTATTTAGTCCAGGTTCCTGTCCCAATTTGGAGGCTTAATTTCATATCAAACTTGCTCTCCCTAATCTGCCAGAACAAGCAGGAGAGCCTCACATGGGAGAGTCTGGACTTTGAGGTCAAACTGCCTGGGTTCAAATCTCAGCTGTGCATCACTTCAGAGACGTGTTAGCTTCCATGTTACTCGATTTCTGACAGAGAAAAAAGAAGAACCAGCTTCCCTTTAAAAGGAAGTGCCTCGGATTACCCAGAGCTCAGCACAGATGATTATGAAACCAACAGGATTAGTGCTGAGATCATTGTGGGCTTGAAAGGGCCATTTGGGATAAATAACCATTTTGTACAGATAGAAAAATAAGGCCCAGAGAAATGAAGTGAATGGAATTGGGAGGTGGCTGGGCAGGGAAATGAACTTCTTCTCAGGCCACAGGATGTGTGGATGGGGGCAGGTACTCAAGTGGGCAAGGGCAGAGCCGGGCCTGGCTGCAACAGCTGCCGAGCCCCAGCCCTGGTGCCCAGAAGCCGAGGTGGAGGCGAGCCACAGTGCGAGGCAGGGACTGCCCTGAAGCTCTGTCAACACAGGGCCAGCTTTGAAATGCCTGAGATGGAGGTCGGGGAGGGGTCTGCCCTCTCCGGTTACAAATAGATGCTTTACTGCCAGACGCTCAAGGAATAGGACCGTTTTTTGACTTGGCCAAACAGAGACAGCATGCCAGTGAGCAGAAGGGTAGCGGGGAGGAGGGGGATGTTACCTTTAGAAGAGTTGCGTAGAGCTACCCACAGAGAATGAGTAGAAAGCCCAGGCAGGTCTCCCGCGAGCAAGGCGAGGGCTGCCACCATCTCCCCAGGCTGCCGCTGCTGACCTTTCTGACTGGCTTGGGAACAAGGCAGCAGAAAAGGCTGGCTGGACCCCATAGCGTGGTTGCCCGGGGAACAGCTCAGGTCACCCAGAGCAACTCATTTCTTACCCTCAGAACTTAACAGTCAAACAAGAAATAAACGAGGCGGGGTTTGTGGAGACAAGGCGCCCCACAGGATTTAACATGAGAAGAAAGAAAATGGTTAGCAGGTGTGTGCCTGCAGATGGGGGCACGTTTCCGCCACCTGCGGACAACACAGCAGGGGAGCAGTGGCCAGGGTGCCTGTCGGCACCCTCTAAGCTGCAGGACAGCCACACCCCCAGGAGGGCCACAGCAAGGGCAGTGATGGTAAATGGAAAGGCAGAACGGAAATGCTGGCTGAGGGCTCATGTCCCACTGGCATGCCCATGCTCTTCTCTTCTGGACCACAGACCATGGCCACTGTGGTGTCGATGGCAGGACTTTCTGGAAACAAGCATCACTCATATCCCTAAGAAGTGATGGCAGATAATGCCAGACGTGGGCAGTGACTAGGGCTTCTGTGTCTCGGGACATGCTGTAGGGTCAGAGAGGGGAAGCACTAAGAATGGTGTGTTAGCCAAGAGGCAGCAAACAGAGGTGACAAAATGGTGACCTCATACGATAAATTCTCCATCCCTCAAATCCATCCCTCAAATGCTGGCTGAATGCTCACCGTGGGGCAGGCACGGCTGTAGGCATGGGGTTGAGCAGTGAATGGTACGACAGTGTGGAAGTGGGGATGGAAATGGTCCTTCTCACCTGAACATGACATGCAAAGCCCGTGCAGACAGCCGGAGCGGATGTGCTGCAGGAGGGAAATCAGGCTGACTTCTGTTGGTTCCTGGTGAGGCCCACACGTGTCACTCCTGTGCAGGCCCATGGATTTAGGAGGTCACCTGTTTTCAGCAGTCATCTGAGTGCCAGCAGGGAACAGCTCCAATGATGATAAATTATTAGGTGCCCTGGGCACCCACAACTGTTACGTAGACTCATGAGAAATCCCTGTTTCCTGGAGCTTATCAAAAAATTCCACAACACATTTTACTTCAGGTCTTTACGCCTATGTATGTTGTGTATGTGAGTGTGTTTTCTCCCCAAAGTTCAATGTTTTCATTCACTTTTTTGAGACAGAGTCATGCTCTGTCACCCAGGCTGCAGTGCAGTGTTTCAATCATAGCTCACTGCAGCCTGGAATTCTGGGCTCCAGCAATCCTCCTGCATCAGCCTTCTGAGTAGCTAGGACTACAGGTGTGTACCACCACACTTAGCTAATTTTTAAAACTTTTTCATAGAGATGAGGTCTCGCTGTTTCTCAGGCTGGTCTCAAACTCCTGGACTCAAGCGAGCCTATTGCCTCAGCCTCCGAAAGCACTGGGATTACAGGTATAAGCCACTGTGCCCAGCCGTTGGGTCTGGTTATTTTTAAGTGTATCTATTGTAATTTATGCTTATCCTTGTATTCAGAGTCATCCTACAGTTTCTAAGGTTAGGAAGCCACTGTGTCAAGATTGAGACCACCTGCCTGATGTGACCAATCCATGGAGCTGGGGTGGAGGGTCATTCAAACCAGTCATTCAGCAGAACTGTACTGGGTCAGTTCCATCAGCTGCCTAGAAGGCAGGTTAGCTCGGTGCAAACCCTGTGTGTGACAATCAGATTGTGTTGGTGGCAGTCTCTGTGCTGTGAGTATCCCACTGAGGACAGAAGTCCCCTCTGCAATGGCAGGGTTCTAGGGAATAGGGCATGGGATGGACTCCCCATGGGCCCCTCAGAAAGGGCCCAGAGAACAGCAGCACTCTGTGGGCCCAGTAAATTGCCCACCTGGCTCCACAAGCCTGGGAGGGAGGGCTCCGCTCATCGGATGGCAGAGCCCCACCTGCATTCAGCCTGAGGCCAGGTTGCACACCTACTCTAGCTATGCTGTTGAAACCATCCGGCTACTCACAGACCGTTCATGAAAAAGTTGTCCTCAGGGTCTCTCACACACTGGGAAATCTACTTGAAATGTAAACATGACCGTTTTTCATTTTTAAAAAAAGGCAACAGGCTGATTTTCATGCATTTCTCTTGAATGAATTTTGATCGGGTTTCACTCATTGTCCTGTCTTGGAAATCCCCAAGTAATGACGGCTTAAACTAGGTGGACAAGAATCCTCCCTTGGAGTCTAGCCTGGAAAATCCTCTCGGGGGAGTGGCAGGCCCGCTTCTCTTTTGGGAAGACGGTTCTAACTGAGAAGGGCCACATTGGGCCCCTGGCCCTGCAGTATGTTCTGACTGATCTGAAGTGAAAACCGGGCTTTGGAAAATACCACCTTGGCTTTTCTCTGGACTTTATACTCTAGAGGGCGAGGGCTGCGGCTCGGGCATCTCCCCACGGTGCACAGGAAAAACTCAAGACCTGTTTTGTGGGATGGAACCATTTCCAGTGGTGTCTGACCCTAGTTGCTGATGTGGTTTAAGCTGACTTGAGCGGCCAGGCCAGTATTCAGTGCCTTCCTAACTCGTGACTCTCCCCAACCCAATCTGCATGAAGCGGCTTTGGAACATTTCTATCTGTGTAAAACTAAGAGACCCTCAGTCCACCTCATCCCCTCTTCCAACACGTGGGAGGTTTCCGTGTGAAAATACTTTACGTATTAACTAAATTGTTCGCAGTTACAAATTTGGAGGTGTTTCAGCTTGCGTTGTTTCACGAGGAATTTCTCAGGGGCACTTGGCCTACACCTTGTTTTTGTTAGAATTACCTGCCG